AGGCTGACCCCAGCCCCCCAGGTCCCTGCAGAAGGCCCCGGTGGTCTGCTTGGTGTGGGGAGACCCCTTAGAAGGCCCAGGCCTCTCCTTCAGGCAGAAGAGTCCCCCCCATCCCTGGCTCCGCTTGGCTGGGTTCTGGGCCATTAGAGGCAGAACTGTAGGAGGCGGGTGGGAGGGCCCATGGCATGAGGAGGCCCTGGCACCGCCTGTCAGCCAGCAGCCATGGCTCATTCATATTCACCGGCTGCCCCCCCATTACCAGAGCTCAGGGTCACCGAGGCCACTGACTCTGCCAGCCCTAACCCACAGCTTTGCCTGCCCGCCCCGCTACCTGGTGGGCAGGGAGGTCAGGCTTGTGGGCTGGCGGCCCCATCCTCCCTCCCTGTCCAGTGGGGCCGTGCACGGGCACCCAGATTGCCTGGCATCTGAAACCTCCTTAGGGAAAGGCTGTGTGGGCGCCAGGCTGGCGTGTGGGGCGGGGTGCTCAGGGGTGGTTAGGAAGTGGAGCCTGAGGGCCTCATGGGGGACAATGGGTCGCCCTCGCAGGAGCCCCAAGTTTCTGGCGACATGACCTATCAGCTTGGAGTGGGCCTTGTAGCCGGCAGGACTCTGATGCTGGGGCCCTGGCCTTCAGCCCCACCTCAGACGCCTCCCAGGTTGTGGTCCGGAGCCCAGCAGGGACAAAGCCTGCTCGTAGAACTTTGTGCAAATTGAGCAAATCTTCCTGGCACCCCATGTTATGAGCAGGAGGCCGAAGCACAAACTGGTGAGGTCAGAGCATTCTTGGCAGTGGGAATGGCAGGTGCAAAGGCCCTGGGGTTGGAACTGGCCTGCTGTGGCCGTAGGGACATGAGGGGAGTGGCCAGTGGTTGGAGACGGGGGTGGGGATCCAGGTGTCATGGCTGTGGTGGGTGCTGTGGCCGCTGAAAGGCATCGAGCAGGGATGTCATGAGCTGTCCCACAAGCTTTCTTTTTAGTGTGTGTTTTAATCTCACAGACTCAGGCTGCTATCAGGGTCGGGACAGCCACATGGAGGGGATGACAAGGCTGGCCTCACAGCTGCGTGCCCTCTGAGCAGACTTGGGGTTGCCCAGACTCCCTGCGAAAGCCTCCAGGGATGGGGAGGCCATGACCGCCGCACGGCTGAAGGCTCTGACCTGCCCACTGGCAGGTCACCCCACCCCTCCCCCCGAGGACCTCAGCCTCCTCCCCGCCCACTGCTCGCAGGAGCACGTCATAACAGCAGCCCGTCCTAGTGGGGCCGGTGGGGGTGGGGGCTTCCTACAGCACCTGCCAGGCCGGTTAGTGCAGCACCCAGCTTGTAGCCACCTGCAGGGGGCTCATCACCACCACTTACCACCTGAGGCTCAGAGAGGTCATGTTGTCACGTGGAGGTCACACAGCGGGCCAAAGGCAGGGGCAGAGCTGGAGCCAGAGCCAGCCTCGGCTCCCCACTCAGCTGGAGGCGGCAGCTGCCTCATCTTGTCGCTCAGCTCCCACCTGGACCTCACTAGCTCAGTGGCTCTGACAGCCCCCACCCCACCAAGGACAGGGGTGTGGGAGGGTGAAACCCTCCTGGGCTGGCTGGGCCCCAAGCCCAGTGCTGAAGGCATGGACATCAGGCACAGGAAACACCGGCCGGGGTTTCCCACAGAGGCAGAGGGCAGGGCCTCTGGAAACCCCGGGAGCCAATGGGAATCAGGTGCCTGAGGAGGGGAGGGAAGCTGGGGGTCAGCCAGGGAGGGGTGGTGTGCAGGGTCTCCCACTGTCCTTGCTCCCCAACACCTGGAACGGCGGCAAACAAGGGTGTCCTGGCCTCAGAGGGACTCTTGCAGGGACGCCCCAGGGCCATTTTTGCCGTCTGGGCCCTGGGAGGGGATTGCTGAGGCCTTACTTAGAATGAGCCATTTCTTCAACAACCTCAGTAAAGTCCGCTTTAATTTTCAGATTCATTTGCCCTGGTGCACACAGAGGGAGAAATCAAAGCCACCGCAAGGCCAGCGTGCTTGTCCCTGGACCCGCTGCGTCAGATGGGGCCGCACAGGCGTCCGTCCGAGTCAGAGAAGACTCAGGCTCACCCACCCAGGATCCACGTCTAGGCTGATGGCGGGAACAGTGGGCACATGGCAGAGAGAAGGACAGGCCCCGTAAGCCGAGGGAGCCGGGGGGCTTGGGGCCACTCCTCAGGGAGCTGGGCTCTCAGGACAGCTCCGAAGCAGCAAACATTTCCAAGTGGCTCCTCCACGGAACCGGACGTGTCCCTCATGCCTGGGCACTGCGCCGTGTCGACGGGCGTCCATGGCCAGGCGGGGCCTCCAGGGGCGGGCAGCAGGGTGGGCAGAGGCACGACCCTGGGCTTGGGCGGACCTGATTCCTGCAGAGTTGAACCCCGTTTATTTACCCGAGTCCCACAGTACAAACCCCGGCCCACCATCCCCCGAATCAACCGGCTCCTGATTCCACCCCCGATCACGGTGTCACTCTCTGCATGATTAGCTGCTGGTTCTCCAGGCACTGCTTCAGCTTGTCCTCCGTCAGCGTCAGCCGCTGCTCCAGGATGCAGACCGTCTGCAACACAACAGGGAGCAGGCTCAGGGGTGCGGCCACCGGCTGCCCGGGACCCCGCAGCCAACCCCGCCGCTGTCCCAAGGCCAGCTGTCGGCTCTGCCCACCCAGGGTCCTGCCCACCCCTCCCGGCTCTGGATGGCTGTTCTCTGATGTTGTGGGCCGGGCAAGACACGCGAGGGAAAGGAGGGGGTGGGCCCCACAGCCCTTATCACTCCCCAGACAACCAAGGTCAGGAATCCTTGGCCCTGGTGGCCTGGCGTTTAGGCTGGAGTCTGGGGGCAGAGCCACCTCCTCACTGGGACCAGGTGTCCATGAACAACCGGACACCAGCCACCACCTTCATTCCAAAGGTGAGGGCACGGTGCTCACAAACGAAGGCTCCCCCCACCGGGGCCACCCACCCCTCAGGCCCGGGACCAGTGCAGGAAGGGGCCGCCTTGGGGAGGCTCTAACTCATCTCTGAGCCGTTTGCTCTGCGGTGACGGTGACGGGAGGGTGGCACTGAGCTCACAGCGGTCCTGGAGCCCGAGGTGACAGCACGGGGCCAGCTGTTGGCTTGGCCCACAAGGCCTGTCACCACGACGGCTTCCGGAGGCTGAGCCCTTGCTCCTAGCACGCCCGGCACGATGGCTGGCCTCCAGCGCCCGCAGCTGCTGGGGCTGCGCGTCCTTTGTGGGCCAGGGCCAGTCTTGCAGACGTGGCCCGGCTGGCGTGGCTCAGTGGTTGAGCATCAACCCATGAACCAGGAGGTCGCCCATTCAATTCCTGGTCAGGGCACATGCCCAGATTGCAGGCTCGATCCCCAGGGGGGCCGTGCAGGAGGCAGCCGATGGATGTTTATATGTATCTTTCCCTTCCTCTCTCTCTAGAAATAAAGAAATAAGACTCATGGACCCACTCTGGCTCAGGAGCGTCGGCAGAGGGACAGTGGGTCTGAGTGCTCCCCAGAGGGCCTGCCCCACCTGTCACCGCACCCCAGCCCTGCTGAGCCTGACCCCGGCCGGCCACGTCTGCGCCCCCACTGGGGAGCCTGTGCGTGCCAGGCCCTCACCCAGCACTGGCCAGTCTACTGCGGGCAGGCATCGAAATGGGCCAGATAAGAAACAGGACTTTCTATGAATTTTCCCTGTTTGTGGCTTTCCCAAGAGGTTTCGCCACCTTCCTCGAGGGCTCCGAGAGGCACTGGGCCTCGGTCCAGTCCCTTCGCTTAATGAAGCGCCGAGACCTCTGGGAGGGAGCGTCCCACTCAGGCTGCTGTGAGGCCTCCCATGGCAGGCCTGAGAAGTGCTGCCCTGGACTGTGAGGTGACCCCGAGAGGCAGAGCTGAACTGAGGCGTCACTCCCTCAGAGCTGCGGCGGGGGAGGGTCTGCATCTCGTAAATGTGGTGGAAACAGCCCCCGGCTGGTCCAGACCAACCCGCATTCCTCAAGTTTCCACTGGCTGCTGAGACACTCAGTGAGCCAAGCTTCAGAATCATTCTTCATCCAGACTTTTTCCGACAGCCCCGACTCCAGGCCACAGCGGGGAGCCAGCCTGCCTCTCCTTCCCTGGCCCTCCCTCCACGGACCCACTTTCCACACGTGGAGGCAGTGGATGCCGGGCCACAAGGGGGGGGGGGTACTGAGGGAGGCGGTGGGGACCAAAACCAAGATCATGAGCCAGGGGTGTCCAGCACGACCCCCCAGGGAAATCCTCCTGGGAGAGGCTGCCAGGGCGTCTGAGGGGAGCGCTGTCCTCTGTCCTCTGTCCTCTTTGGGGCGGCATTACCAGGGCCCGGGCTTCTCCCTCACGGCTCAAGGTGCGTCAGACGCTTCCTCTGACACCTGAAGGGCCTCCGAGTGCAGCACAAAAATAACTGTTTATTTTTAGTCCCCAAAGAGCCATAGCGAGGCCCAGAGAAGCTGCCGCAACGCCGGTCCTCAGCAGCTGTGGGCATCAGGCCCGACTCCGAGTGGGGAGCACAAGGCAGGGGCCCGGCAGACCGTGCTCCGGGCCTCTCGGCCTCTTCTCTCTGGGCATGGAGTTTCCAGGAGTCTGCCCACGACGGGCTCAGGGCAGGCCTGAGAAGTGCTGCCCTGGACTGTGAGGTGACCCCGAGAGGCAGAGCTGAACTGAGGCGTCACTCCCTCAGAGCTGCGGCGGGGGAGGGTCTGCATCTCGTAAATGTGGTGGAAACAGCCCCCGGCTGGTCCAGACCAACCCGCATTCCTCAAGTTTCCACTGGCTGCTGAGACACTCAGTGAGCCAAGCTTCAGAATCATTCTTCATCCAGACTTTTTCCGACAGCCCCGACTCCAGGCCACAGCGGGGAGCCAGCCTGCCTCTCCTTCCCTGGCCCTCCCTCCACGGACCCACTTTCCACACGTGGAGGCAGTGGATGCCGGGCCACAAGGGGGGGGGGGTACTGAGGGAGGCGGTGGGGACCAAAACCAAGATCATGAGCCAGGGGTGTCCAGCACGACCCCCCAGGGAAATCCTCCTGGGAGAGGCTGCCAGGGCGTCTGAGGGGAGCGCTGTCCTCTGTCCTCTGTCCTCTTTGGGGCGGCATTACCAGGGCCCGGGCTTCTCCCTCACGGCTCAAGGTGCGTCAGACGCTTCCTCTGACACCTGAAGGGCCTCCGAGTGCAGCACAAAAATAACTGTTTATTTTTAGTCCCCAAAGAGCCATAGCGAGGCCCAGAGAAGCTGCCGCAACGCCGGTCCTCAGCAGCTGTGGGCATCAGGCCCGACTCCGAGTGGGGAGCACAAGGCAGGGGCCCGGCAGACCGTGCTCCGGGCCTCTCGGCCTCTTCTCTCTGGGCATGGAGTTTCCAGGAGTCTGCCCACGACGGGCTCAGGGTCCTCGGGGCTCTGGGACTCAGAACAGGGGAGCCCGCTCCCACAGTCCCCCACACCCACCAATGGCCCAAACTGGCCAGTCCGGATGCCCTGTGCGGGCCAGGGCCTGGGTGTGGGTCTCTGCTGGCCTCCAAGTGACTGAGGGCGAGCCGCCACTCCTGGCGTGTGTGACAGGGACTCAGGTGTGTGGGCGACTCTGGACATCAAGTGCTGGGAGGCCCCGAGGGGTGCAGGGCCGAGCTGTGAGGGGCTCGGGGGCGTGGCTGTGGCCAGGATTCTCCCTGGGCTCCCGGGGTGCAGGGAGGGAGTCAGGTGTGCCCTGAGGAGGACCCCAGTCGGGAGAGGGAGCGGCCAAGGCCCTTTATGCCACCCTGTCCCTGTCCAGCCGCGCCGTGGCGCTCTCCCTGGGCTGGGCCGCCTTCCCTTTGTGCCCCGCCTCCCAGCCCCCACTGCCTCTCGCCCGGCTTCCTCTGGAGGTGGGTCTGTCCTCATCCTCTGGCAGCTCTTGCTCAGTTCTCACTTCCACTTCTTGTTCAGGCCTCTTTCTCACCCCCTTTTCATGAATGGCTGTTTGGGGTGCAGGGTGTCAGTCTGGCCACGGGGACTGGGCTCCGAGGAGAGCCTGGGCCCCTGGCATGACCTCCTGCTCTGGGGCTGATGCCTGGCTGGCAGCCCTGGAAGGAGAGCTCCGACTGTGATGGGGGTTTGGAGGCCACTAGTCACAAGATCTCATTAAGTTTCCTGAGACATTAAACTTTTAAAAATGCTTTTAAAATGAAATTCAAATGGTGAGTTAAAAAAGACACTCCGAGGTGAGTAGAGGGAAACGCATTCCAAATAAAATACAGCAGGTGCAAAGGCCCTGGGGCAGAGAAGAACATGACCGTCTTAGAAGTGCCCGGAGACCAGAGGGGTTGAAGAGGGAGGGAATGTGGTGGCCACAGGAAGGTGGAGAGGGCTCCAGGGCTCTCAGCCCAAAGGGACAGGAAAGGGAAGCCTCTACTCCCTGGCCTGCCCCCGACTCAGGTCTGAGCAGGCGGAGCCAGGGAGGATAGTGTCCTGCAGGCCGGTGGCCAGTTTTTGGAGCGCTGGCTCCGGAGTGAGCTCTGGGGAAGGGGCTTGGCCTGGGACTGACCGGGCTGCCCAGCCCCACCATCAGCAGTGAGCGAACAGGCACTTCCACGCTGACCAAGGGCGCGCCCTCCAAGCCAGGTCCTTCCAGCAGCTGCTCCTCCTCCCACAGCCACTGCCACCACCTCCTGCGTGTGCCCCACGAGCTGATGTAGTGGGAGAACTGGAGCCGTCGCTTCTACAAAGCCTGAGGGGCCAAGGGCCACCCACCGGCCCCCTGACGTCACCCACTCCCACCCGCCTCAGGTGCCTGCCACGTGCAGCAAACGAGACTGGCTCCCATGGCTCCCAGGCACTGGCGCGGCCACAGGATCGGTCCTGTCTGGGCTGGCTGTGGGCAGAGCTGCTCCCCCAGGACTGACACATTTTGAGGAAGGAGGAAAGAATGATGATCAGCCAGCCACGCTGTCTGCGTCTCTCAGATCTCTGGCCAGGGCCTGACAAAATGCTTCTGCGGGTGCAGCCTGGCTCTCAGCTCCCACTGACCCCTAATCCCGCCATCTCGGGACTTCTCCGCGCCCACATCCTGCTCCAAGCAGGGCCCTGCGTGGGAACCGCCGAGACCCTTAGATTAGCACTGGTTCTATGGACCAAGTTCCCTCCTGGAGCATGGGCACAGGCGACAGAGGTGGACAGGGCGGCTGGGCCAGATGACGATAGAGGCACAGGGCCGCCCTCCGTCCACATGCCACCACCTCAAGCACCTGCTGGGCCGGGGGCACAGTGGTGAGGGGAACCGAGACTGCCCTGGAAGGTGCCAGGGCCACGTGTGGGCAGAAGCTCAGATTGAGAGAAGTGTGTTGTGCAGAGGCAGTCGCTGGGCAGAGGCCGGGAGATGGGGAGCTCAGCAGGGGCTGACGGGGGTGAAAACAATACCACGGTCAGACCCCATCCGAGACCCTCCGGCCGCCGTGTCCGGCAGGACACCTTTCCCCCAGCTGGCTCCTCCTGCCCCAGGCGGCCCCCAGTCCCCATCCTGACACCTCGCCTTCCTGGTGATTCCTGGGGCCTCCACATTGCTCTGCCATGT